TCATTTTGCTGTACGCCAGAAACTAATTCAGCATTGTAAATCAACTGTACTTCAGTGCAAGAAAGAAAGAAAAACCCTCTGTCTCTGCCTTACTCTTGATAACACAAAACAGCTGATTTTCAGTGTAGGTTGTGAGAGCATGAATGCTGAGAGGTGATGATTGCTGGTACCATCTTGGAGGCCGGCGACTGCAGAGAGAAATAAGAAATGTTTGTGGGAGAAGGTGTTTGTTTGCATCCTTCCTTGCTGTGGGCCTCTAGTAGTTATGAAATTAGACAGATTTGCAAGTTAGTACTCCTTAATGACAAAATGTCCACTCTTAGCACACTCTTTGATAATTGCTTTTTAATTTAATACTAGTTTTCAAATGGTAGTTAAAAAAACAATAAGACCACTAAAATTATAACCAAAAGAGTAGCTCTGCCCCAAATTTTATTCTGCAGAGAATACTATTCTTAATTCTTTTGGTCATTTCCTTTAATAATTTCCTCCATATTATTAAATACCCTTGCTTATACAGCTGTTTCTTGATCTCTCAGTTTTAGACTTTACTAACTTTTTACTGTGGAAAATGAGAATTTGGCACTTTTCTTCTACATATATACCATGTACCTCTTCCTAATATAGTTATAATTTTGGTTAAAACAATATTCAGTACTTATAACTATAAATATTCTCAACCAGTCCATGTAGTAAATGATGATTGTGTCTTGTTTCTCCTACAACTTTGTATATATTTTTTTTCTGGAATTAATGATTGTCCTTTTTTGTTTGCTTAGTTTTCTGTATCCTTATCAATAATTCATCTCCATGCTCTCCAGAAGAACTAAATTCCTGGTATAACCAAGTAATCTATCAGTTAATTTTATCCCCCATCTCTTGGCAGCATACCATCTGTACTTCGTTTTCTGCTGCATTTGAGGCTGACCACTCTGTGGCTTACTTACAGTGTTGCCCTAGAAGAGTCTATGCTCTTTCATATGTTAGACTGTTTCCTAGAATTCATGATTTTTTATTCTCCACTTCCTTATTTTATGTACCATATCCTGATAGCTTCCTACAAAAGGGTGCCTGAGAAGTATGTTTTTGAGAACTTGACTAATTTTTGTTTTTTAATTTCTCACTACTTGGCTTTTTTTCTTTTTTAAAACTTTTTATTTTGTATTGGAATATGTGTAGCTGATTAACAACGTTGTGATAGTTTCAGGTGGACAGCAAAGGGACTCAGCCATACATAGACATGTATCCATTCTCCCCCAAATTTCCCTCCCATCCAGGCTGCCATATAACATTGAGCAGAGTTTCCTGTGCTTTACAGAGACCTTGCCTAATTAATTGATAGTTTACCTATTTGCAGATTTCTAGGCTGAAAGTTGTTTTCACTTGGGATTTTGAAGGCATTGTTACATTGCCTTCTAGTTTTTCACATTCCTCTTTTACTGCAGGCTATCCTGATTCCTAGTCTTTGTTTCTGATTGCCTTTTCCTTTGGTTGGCATTTAGTTTCAGCTTTCTCTGTTCTGCCCAGTCCATTACCAGTCAGTTAAGGACTATCTTCCAAAATTTTGTTAGCTTTGCTTCTGTTTCTTTGTTCTTGTGGGTTTATAACTTTCTTTACTGTTAACTCTAGTGGATTTTAAGAGAGAGTGGAGATAATTACTGGTGTTTATTTTACCATATTTTGTTAGTAATCTGACAAATGCTTTTTATGAAGATACTTGAAAAAGATGCCTGAGGAGATTATTTTTTCAGAATAATTAACCAAAGTTAATTTTGTGTGTTGGCTTCTGTGATAATATTTTACTTGTTATTTCCAAATGTTCTGTTGTAAAAATGTCCCCTCTGTAATTCCTCTTGGTTTGGGGGGGGGGGGCTCATTATTTTTGATTGAGGTAAGAATGGAAGTGAATATTTGTTAAGTACTTACTATTTGTCATATGTTTGTTTGAGGGTTTTACATGTACTAGATAGATGATGAAGTAAGGTATTCTTCACATCTGCTATGTAGCTGGCATTCCCATTTTAAATGAGAAAATGCATCAATTTGAGTCACTTTCCAAAAGTCATACCTATTGCAGATAGCAAATAGTGGCTTTGAATTTAGTATTTCTGATTATGTAGTCCTTTATGCTCTTTACTTACAACTTTATTATGCTTTAATGTATGTGTGTGAAAATTTTCAAGCATAAAAGTAGGGAGAAAATAGTATAATAACCCACCATGTGTTTGTCAGTCAGTTATCAACATTTGTTAATCTTTTGTTTCAAATATTCCACCATTTTTTAAAATCTGTAAACGTACTCCAGTATATATCTCTGATGTACAAAAGGACTTGTAACTAACAAAATTAACAGTAATTCTTTACTATGCCCTAAAACCCAATCCATATTCACATTTCTCTGGTTTAATGTGAATTCCCTGGTATAAATATATTCTTATATATAACTGTATAAATATATTCCTATATATTTATATAAGAAGTATATAAATATTGGTTTATTCACACAGTATCCAAATAAGATCCACACATAGCACTTGGTCTTTGTGTTTCTTAAATCTCTTTTAACCAAAGTATTCATTCTCTCCTTTTTCCATACCATTTTTATGTTGAAAAAAAAGGTTCTTTGTTCTGTAGAATGTACTACATTGTAGATTTGATTGCTTCTTCATGGTTTCATTTAATTGTCATACTATCTCCCATGTTTCTTGGTAACTGGATGTTTGATTAGATTCAGGTTTATTTATGTTTGTATTATTTTTGCAAAGAACATTTCATAGTTGGGCTTAAATTTCTTGTTAAATGAAGAGGCATTTAACATCTATAATGTCCTCCTTTTGGTGATGCTGAGTTGGGTATAATTGTTTTCAGCTTGATCCATCCATTATAAGTTCCCCATTCATATTTCGCCTCATGATTTTATCATCCACTTATGATCCTTGTATAGATCTACTGTTTCATTAGATGCTTCACATTGGTGATTTTTCTAATTATATCACTGCCCTTCTACATTTATTAGCTATAATTCTTCTATTACCAGAAACTTTCTCTTTTTAACTATTTTGTTACTTGAAATCAGGAAAGATGGGATTAATGATTTATTTTCCCCTTTGTCAGTTTTCAGAGTACGCTCTGTAGCAAAGAGTCATTATGAACTAAGGGCTATTTATGTATTTGATATATTTTAATGTATTACAGTCATTACTCATTTTATTGCTCATATTGACCCATTAGTGTCCCTGTTAGTTGTTGATAACTTCTTAGGTTTCTGACACCAAATGTTCCAGGCTTATTTTGTGCATGTCCTTTCCCAAATATGGAACCAATCATTTCTGCAAGGAACTTTTTTTTTTAATGGGAAATAGTATTTAGAAACAGCAGGTTGAGTTGCTAGCTTTTCACTACTATTGGATTGTCATCATTTTAGGCATTTTCATTGATCAGAGGTAAGCAGTACATGTTGTTTTTAAAGAAAAAATCATGAATTTGTACTAATGATACAAATGTAAATGTAAGGTTTTTTCTTTTTTTTTTTTTTAACTTAGCTACTCTGATTTTACACTTGTGACATTACTCTTAAATCTTGGTTCCCAACCATAGTAACAGTGGTAAAAAGAAAGTAACTTTTTACTTTCTTCTCATATATATGAGAATTTCAAAATTGCAGATATCAATATTAATGACTGAATATAATTTGTTTTCTTTGTGGATATTTTTGCCCTTAGTATATGTCCCACTAGGTAGATGGAACCAAAATATTGTGTGGAATACATACTGGGTTTTTTAGTTTTATCTTTTCATTGTTCTTTCTGGGGAGGGGTATACTTTATTATATTTTAATACATAATATTTTAAATGATATATAATACATTTAAAATTATATAATTTTTAATTTTATATTTAATATAATCATATTCTTTTTTTTCCATTTATTTTTATTAGTTGGAGGCTAATTACTTGCTTTTTTGCTAATTATACTTGCTTTTTTATTCTTACTATAAAGGTATGTATTATAAACTTGGTTTTGCATTAATTTTATCTTAATGATATAGTCTGGAGATCACTTCTTAGCATTTAGAGATTATCATTCCTTTAAACAGCTGCATAGTAAACTATTGTGTGGGTTACTGTGACAGCATAATTCCTTAATTTCATACTGATTCAGTCTTTCCTTTCAGTCCTAAGGAAATACTTTCATGTGGCAAAATCTGGTGTGAGAATTTAATATGATAAAATATTTTTTAAATATTGAAATTTATTTCTATAGTATCCTTAAAGTAGTAATCAAGAGTTAAATGACAATTTTCATGAAGTGAATTTTGGTCACCTAAGGGCCCTGATTTATTTTTAAACCTTAACTATTTTTGATGAAGATTCTCTTAAATTTATTACAAACTATTTAGCCATTCTTTAACATAATTGGAATGTTTTCATTATTGTATTTATTCTAATTATCTGTGCTTTTCAGTTTTTCTGTGTCTTTCCTGAATTAAGTATTTGTCAATCTTATATGCCCAAGTTAGTGCAGCTCTTGTGTAAAGTTTTTCTTTAATTAATTAATTTTTCAGTTATTTTATTAAAGTATAGGTGAAAGCTTTATCTCTGCTTTTTCAGGGTCTCAGCTTACATACAGGGAAGTCAAATTTATAGAAAGCCTCATATTAACAAGAATGGTGTTTCACTTCCTGTTTACTGGACTAAAAAATTTTTTTGTATTGAAGTATAGTTGATTTCCAGTATTTTGTTAGTTTCAGGTATACACAGAGTGATTCAGTTATGTATATGTTTCAGATTATATTCCATTGTAGTTTATTATAGGATATTGAATATAATTCCCTGTGTTCTATAGCAAATCCTTATTTCTTATTGACTAAAATTTTTTAAATTGTGAAACAGTACATCTGTGTCTTTATCTGACATTTTGCTATTATAATTTTTACAATATGTAGTTAAGATTATTCCTTTATTAATTTTATTAATAGTAATATTTTCTCTTGAATCAGATGTTCTGCCTTACTCAATACGGGTCCTGTTGGAAGCTGCTGTGCGAAATTGTGATGGCTTTTTAATGAAAAAGGAAGATGTTATGAACATTTTAGACTGGAAAACCAAACAAAGCAATGTTGAAGTGCCCTTTTTCCCTGCCCGTGTTCTTCTTCAAGATTTTACGTGAGTAGTAGGATTATTTTTCATGATGAATTTTCAGAGTGTTTTCTTTCTAGAATCATACTCCCAGATATCTCTTAATTGGGAAGATTAGTTTATAAATTTTAAAATTTCCCTTTTCTAAACTAAAGCAATTTGTCTTACTTGTGAAGTAAGTCAGACAGAGCAGGAGAAATACCATGACATCCCTTATAAGTGGACTCTAAAAAGAAAGGATACAAATGAACTTAGAAGCAGACTCAACAGACTTAGAGAACAAACTTACAGTTGCTAAGGGGAAGAGATAGTGAGTTTGGGATGGACAGGTGCACACTGCCATATTTGAGATGCATAATCAGTAAGGACCTACTGTATAGCACATGAACTCTGCCCAGTGTTATGTGTAACCTGAATGAGGGAAATTTGGGGGAGAATGGACACACACACACACACACACCCCTTCACTGTTCACTCCATTGTGAATTGGACACACACACACACACACCCCTTCACTGTTAAATGGACACACACACACACACACACACCCCTTCACTGTTCACTCCATTGTGAATTGGTTCTATTCCAATGCTAAATAAAAAGTTTTTTTTAAAAAATTAAATGCTTGTTTTCCTGTAGCCATTTATTTTAAAAACTACTTCTACCTAACTGCCTACTTGTCCCAATAGGATGCTCAGACTTAATATATCCTAAATGTCATTGCCCAGCCCTCTCATTTACTCCTTTTCAGATTTTTTCTATCATAGTAAATGATGCTATTTAGAGCAAAAATCTAGAAGTTAACCTTGCTTCCTCTCTTTCCTTCATACATAATCCAGTCTATCAGCAGGTTCTGCGAGCTCTGCCTTTGAAGTACACATCCTGAATCCAAATGCTTTTTACCATCTCCACCTCCGTTGTTCTGATTCTAACCCCATTCTCACTTACCTGGACTATGACTATAATAGTCTCTGAACAGGTATCCCCGCTTCTGCACTTGGAATGGATAGTTTTATCTTTTCACAGTAGATGAAGTGACTTGGCTAAAAAATGTTGATAAAGGTCATATCATTCCTCCATTTTCCATTTGGCTTCCATCACACTTAGAATAAAGTCTGAAGTCTTTACCATAGCTTGAAAGACTTTGCCTAGTTTAGGTGTCCAAGGATTATTTATTGGAAGACTTAACCATTAGCTGAGTTTTGAAGGAGGTGTAGGAGTTAGCTAGACAAATAAGAACATTTTCTTTACCCACTCGCCGATATCTGGTAAGTATGCCACTTCTCTGTGTATGCTGCTACTGTAGTACTTATGGTACTCCTCTGTAATTGCTAGTGCATCTTTCCTACAAATTCCTTGAGAACAGTTACTCTCCCTTATTTATTTAGCCTTGTACCATTGGTGTCTAGCACCTCGAAGTCATTTGGTAAATGCTTGTTACATAGTTGGCTGGAGATATGTATGCAGATACAGATCTATCTGTAGATTCCTATATTTAGTGAATAACTTTGGAGACAAGGCACTGGGAGTGAAGGGGCTGGAGTTGGGGAAAAGGGGTGGGGTATCTTAAAATTCAAGACAAGAAAAAGGACTCCACCAGCAGTTTCCTTGAAGTTCCCTTATGCCTCTAAGAATCATCTGTTGTATTATCTTTGGCACATTACCTTTTAGCACTCAAGTTTTCAGATAGTATTTAATATTCTCATTAAACTAGGCTACATATAACTTTGGATACATTATCAAACATGAATGCAAACTAAAAGGATACTTTTTAAATTTAAAAATGAATAAATGCATATTGGTTATACTTGAGTATATATAAAAGAAGGTTTAGAAGTTAATTGTTCTTTATTTTTTAGTGGAATACCGGCAATGGTGGATTTTGCTGCTATGAGGGAGGCAGTGAAAACTCTTGGAGGTGACCCTAAGAAAGTCCATCCTGCCTGTCCAACAGATCTTACGGTTGACCATTCCTTGCAAATTGACTTCAACAAATGGTACTTCAATATGGATATTTATAAAAACAGACATGCAAATTGACTGCCAGCCAGTCCACTAGGAGTATATGGTATATAGGAAAGGGAAAAGAGATAATTTGTGCCAGAGTAAAGTTTGCAACATTTATTACTGACTAATATACAAAAAGAAAAACTGGTGAAAATTGATGTATCGGTGAAATTTATGTTTAACTAAGTCTGAGTTTAAAGTGATTTTCCTCTTTGTATATTTTGCTGCCATTTTTATAGAAATATATAAGCCTGGAACCTGCTTTTCAGAGTGGGTATCTGAATAAAGCCTTCATTTCCTTTTTGATTTCTAATTTCCCTTCCAGAGAGACTCTAAAGATATGAGCCATGGATGTCTTTAATTATATTAAATTGGTGATTGGAAACACTGAGCTTACTACAGTTGTATTTTCCTTCCACTGAAATAAATTTTCTTATATTTAAATGATCCTTTTGATCAAAGTCAAACTAGAGAAGACATGATTATGTTTTCATGCACCAGTTTATTTAGTTTCCCTGGAGAAATGGAATAAGACAATTTATTAAAACTTCTGCTACAGGTTAAACTCTGGCTCTGAGCTTCTTTTAAGTTGTTAGATGGGGGAAAAGATCAATTTCGCTACTTGCCAAAAGTTATTGTAGGAAAATGATTTTAATGGGCACTTAGAATTATTTTTTAATCATCATAAATTAATTCCCCTCCTTTTTGTAATCTGAGATTTGCTTTTGAAACCTGATTTAAATGGTACTTTAACCTTTGAATAACATTCAGTTGTTACTTCCAGATAGCATTGCTGGTGTATGCTTTTTGAAGAACTAAATTTCTTTCGCTTTTAAATGGTTTTATTTTGTCTCTTTTTTTTTGGAATGATAGTGCAATACAGAATGCTCCAAATCCTGGAGGTGGTGACCTACAGAAAGCAGGAAAGCTCTCTCCACTTAGAGTGCAGCCTAAGAAGCTTCCCTGCAGAGGCCAGGCTGCCTGCCGAGGATCGTGTGATTCTGGAGAACTAGGCCGAAACTCAGGAAAATTTTCTTCGCAGATTGAAAACACACCCATCCTATGTCCTTTTCATTTGCAACCAGTGCCTGAGTATGAGATGTTTTTTAAAATATTTGTTAGTGCCAAGTTATTTTTCAGTTTTCCTTCTCCTCCTAATTTCATTTACATTGCCTTCATATTTGTTTTGCTTCCTGTTGTACTGAAAGAAGCAAAGATAATTAAAATTGTAGCCTCCAAATACCGTAATCTTTCTGTTTCTTCAGAAGAAAACTTTAAGAATTTTCTAAAAATATATTTAATTTTATAACTAATATAGGCAGAGAAATATCTTAAGCTGAGTTTTTTATTTTAGTGAATTTGTGCCATTCATTCACATGCTTGTTATTCATTCACATTTCTTTTGTAGAAATCCCTACTTATATTTTTAGCTTTATTTTTCTTCTAGGAGATTTCTTATTCTTTTTTATTGCATTGAGACCTCTGTGTTAAGAATATTATTATTATCACATGTCACAGACTTAATGGGCTGTTTTAGATGAGCAGTTTCCTAAATCGTACCGTGGAAAGTAGTAAACCAGCCTGGAAAAGAATCCTATCCTTAAGAGTTGGTTAAATTTCCTACTATGTAATTTTTTCAAAGTAATAAAAGCTCTGTGATGTGTTTTCATATACTATAAAGTTTCCAAAGTCTTAAAGAGGGTTATGTTTGTCCCATTGTTGTTATACTGTCAGATCTTTTAAAGGTTAGTTAAAAATAACTTAGACTTTTTCAGGTTTAAAAAATTTAGCAAATTTAATGTGTAGGTTAAGGATATTATGAACACATATTTCATCATAAGTGCCAAATAGTAACATTTAAGTCACTTGTCCCTAAACTAGCTCTTTCAAGTTCTAGGTGGGTGTCTGTTTTGTGCTCAATATTGTTATAAAACCTTGGTTATGTTATAAGTGACCTCAGGTGCTCTTCCTAAGAATTGAGTATATTCTGTGGGTCCTTTGCTATGTCAGTTCTATGTAAGTACTCTATTCCTCTTACCTAATTGTCCTGGTTTTTAGGGACTGTTGAACTTTTGAGATTGATGTCTCTTATTTAGAAATTAATTTTCTGAAAAGGAAAACGTATTGATTCAAAAAATCATTGATTTTTCGTGGTTATCTTTTTATAAATGGTATGAAGTCCTAAGGTGGTATGTTTTTATTTCTAAAAATCCAATCTGGTATAACATTTCTGTTTAATTTTGACTCTAAATTGCAAAATATTGACTGGATATTGTCTCTGGCTGTTTGAAAATAGTAACTCTTTTCACGTGCTTTAATGCATCAATGAAGTATTAATTATAGACAAAAAATGGAGGGGTAGAGAGTTCAGAGCATACATCTGGCACTTGAAATCACTGCTTAATTTGGAGTCAGGTTATGAGCTAATAAATGTTTGTATGGTACTTTGTAGCTTTCATGTACTGTGGAAAGGTAAAATAATTGGAGTGGCTCTAGAAAGCTTTGTTCCCTGAGGTCCTAAGAAAAATCTCATTAAGATGTGCTGTGGCTTCAGATGATCACTCAGCAATGAATTATTAATCTTTGTTTTTAAAAAAGTTGACAATTAAACAACTATAATTATCTGGACCCTGGAGGACATGTATAATTTAGGTTATATTGATATTCTAGTCAACACTTAAATCACCAGCTGGCAGATGAAATAAACAACTTAAAGCTGTTAGAAATCTTTTTTTTTAAATATCCATTAGATAAAAATAGCTTCCCAAAAATAGCAATATGTTTACTGCTTGGCAGTGAATTGTTTTTATATCTTAGTTTATATAATTTATATAAAATATAATCCATGTAAACTAAACTGCAACTTTACGTAAAGTCGAACCTTTCATTTGGGATGGGATGGATACAAGATTTTTGCCCAAAACTCTTCTGAAGCTTATAAAATGATGTTGTTTGTCACTACTGCATAGTGATAATCGACAATCATCTCCTAGTTAAAGTGGCATAAGCGTCAAGTGGGTGGAAACATATGTGCTTATTGTATATTCATTAAAGTAACTACTCTCCTTTTTCCTTGCACTAGAAAATCCAACAAAGCTTACCATGCTACTTTTCATATTTTAATCAAACACAGCGATGCATATGAAGTACAGTTTGGGACACTGGTGTGGACGTGGCTTAAATATTAAGTCCTTGCAATAGGTTTCTGATCTTATTTAAAGCAGAACTTCATTGTTGAAAATAATGATTCTGAAAAGTCTAGTAAATACTATTCCTAGAATTTTAAAAACGTGTTTTTATGTAAGTACATAAGAATGAAGACTTAGAAACAAAGACAACTCTTTTCTATAATACATACATTTAATGCCAGTTTTTTTTTCTGTTTAGACCTGAAACAGTATTAAAAAATCAAGAAGTAGAATTTGGCAGAAATCGAGAGAGGCTTCAATTTTTCAAGGTATAAATGATTTGGGGGAAATTTTTTAATAGACGTTTATAAAATATTGAAAGGTACAATTTTTTGTATCTTTAGACCAGAAATTTTTAAATATTATCAGTAGAACCCTTTTTTACTTTTTTACTTCAAATAAAATCTTAATCAGAAACCCTAGTATATAATAAAATATTAAAAACAGTGGCTCTAGTTCAGGTGAGCCTGCAGAGTCTTCTACTTGAGCCTTTCCCTTTTTCTATCCCTGAGAATCCTTGGAACGTAGTTGAAAGCTACTGTTTATCTGGACTGTTAGAACATTATTCTTTGACTTTGTTTGAATAATCTGCAAAATGAATATCATGTAGGTTTAGTATCTGCATATTTGCTTTTATGTATTGTAAACTTTGACCATAATGAAATTGGTAAAATATTTTCCATGTCAATATTTATATGTTAATTGTGAACCGAATTCAGATATATGCTAACAGTTGATTTCTTAAATTTGAATAAAATATAGTGGAGTTCAAGAGTTTTTAAGAATGTGGCTGTAATCCCTCCTGGAACCGGAATGGCTCATCAAGTAAACTTAGAGTATTTGTCGAGAGTGGTTTTTGAAGAGAAGGACCTCCTCTTCCCAGACAGTGTTGTTGGCACAGATTCTCATATAACCATGGTGAATGGTTTGGGGATTCTGGGGTGGGGTAAGTAAATGACTAAATACATTTAATTCTTTTGAGAGAGGATGTCAGGACCATTATAAAAGAATGTAAATAGCAGGGTCTTTATAGCCTATTTCACCTATAACAGTTAACAACAAAAATTAAATTCAAGTGTTTGTGGACAGTGTGGCGTAAGAGAGAATTTATGAAAAGAAATGTGTGCTGTGACCAGCACAGCACTACCATTTGTGGAGTGATTAGTGATGATGGTTGGTAAGATCCCCTGGAGAAAGGAATGGCAACCCACTCCAGTATCCTTGCCTAGAGAATTCCATGGCCAGAGGAGCCTCGTGGGCTACAGTCCAAGGGGCTGCAAAGAGCTGCACAGGACTGAGCGACAAACACTTCCACTTTTCTAATGATGATGATGTCTGTGAAGGCAGTGTGGTTACTCCTTTGTTTAAAGTCCTTCAAGTGGCTTTTTCTGGCCTTATTTATAAATCCAAATTTCTCCATGTTTTTTATAGGGTCCTGGCAACATGGTGCCCCTAGCCATTTACCCAAACACATCTTAAAGGCTTGTTGACTTCCCTGAGTAGGCTGTGCTCTCCCACCTCATGGCTTTGTGCCAGCTGTCCCCTCTGTCAGAGCGCAGTTACTCTTTTACAGGGTTTTTAAATTGTTGACTTTGTGTCTTGAGGTTGACGGGGACTGGGTTCTATTCATATCTGTATCTTGAGCAAGGTACAGTACCTAGCATTGTAGATACTAAGTGTTTTCTGAGTTTAAAATAATGATAAAAGTAAAATTTTTTTTAATCTTGTGAGTGAAGTCATTCTTTTGAGAGGACTTGAGTTTCATATCTACAGTGCTAGCATTATAGCAATTCTGTGTAAAGTACTGTGTTAAGACAAACTTGTGAGACACTAGAGATTTAGATATTGAAAAGATAACTTTAAATGCGCCATACTCATATACATGTGTTTATTACATTAGGGGTTGGAGGCATTGAAACAGAAGCAGTTATGCTTGGCCTGCCAGTTTCCCTTACTTTACCAGAGGTGGTTGGATGTGAATTAACTGGTTCATCGAATCCTTTTGTTACATCCATAGATGTTGTTCTTGGCATTACAAAGGTAAGCTAAAATTTTACTAGCTGTATAACTCCATGGACCTGATTTTGTTTTGTAAGTAGAAGAGCCCCATGAAGCAGGTATTTCAGTTTATCACCTCATTCTCAGCACTCTGGTGGTGGTATTAGCTTTGTCATCGTAGTTGTCATCATAGTAATACTTCATACTGGTAAGTACAAAGCAGTTTGTTATGTCATTGTTCGCTTGAAGTGTTAACTCATTTATTCTTCGTTACAAGCCTATGAGATTGGCACTGTTACTAGCCTCATTTTAATTCTGAGACACAGTAAGTTTTCGTGACTTAACCAGAGGGTTGTAGGGTTGAATATTAAGTATAGAACAAGAATTCTAATCCAGGCAGTCAGGTTCTTCAGTCCATGCTCTTAACCATTATGCCTTACAGCCTCAGTAAATACTTGTTGCCTACCTGAATTTTAAAAAATCACACTTCGGAAATGTTTAATTGCATCTCCTTTAATATTTAATTGAATCATTTGTCTTCTGGAAACTATTACTGTATTAGCTGGCACTAAAAACTATGGGTAAAAGTGTGATAGTGTCAAATTTTTCTATTGACTTTTAACATTTTTATAAAGTCACTTTTCCGTACACCTGAAACTAACATTATAAATCGACTGTTTCAATATAAAAAGAAACTAAAATATAGAAACTTTTTCTCTGAACTTTAAAAATGTTGGCTGCATGCATTTAATGCATGTAGTCTAGGGTTTCCTAAAGACAATAATTTGTAACCCTCCACCCCAATTTCATTTTCACTAACTTTATTGTTATGATTGAGTCCCATTTCATTAAATGAGGGAACCTGGCAAATGTTTCAAATAGAATTCATATTTGGATCCCAGAGTCTCAGCATTTTTGGTTAGATTTCTGGGCTGAAGGCTTTTAGAATACTCCGCAGGGAAAGAAAATGGTATTGCCTTCTTCTCACCATTTAATATTGATCCTTCTTCCCTAATTAGAAAAAAAATTGACATCTTGCAGAAATGATTGATTCAGTGTATGGTAACAAAAGATCGAGAAGTTAAATTGAGAATTGAAGGATTATTCCTAAAGGAAAGGAATAGCCCATTATGTTTTTAGAAAAATCAATTCTTTTCCTTTTCATATCCTGAGAAGTAATGTTGCTTTTTAGATTCCTCTGGCTATATTTTTTCTTAACAGTGTTATACATTTACTTTAGACATTTTTGCTTATTGATAATGAAAGTTAAATCTATATGTGTGCATACCTTTTTGAGTGTTATGTCCCTTTTTTGAGGTCCTGTTCTAGTCATATCTTTATAGAATTGATCATTGTTTTTCAAAATGTATATTGTGGTACCTCATTAATTTGGTGAAAGCAGCATTTGACTTTGTATTTCTAATCTGTGTTGCTCTTATCATCAAAAATAAAACAGTGAAAATAAACATCTTTCTTTTAGGGTTGAGTTTCTGCATCCATAAAAAAGTTAGGATTAAATGATCCTTAGCACTTCTAAAATGTTAGAACTTGATATTATTCATAGATTGAATGTTGTTTCATACTTAGTCATTGTCCTGGGCGCACTCCCTATACCATTATGCAACCATTTTACAATTCAGAAAAGGTGGGTAGCTGTTTTGGTTACTTAGTAATAAGAAAAATAATTTTAGAAGGAATTAAGTTTGAAGCCACATGTTAAATTCTATCAAAATGAAATTTACCTATAATTAATGATGCTGTAAATACTTGGACCAGTATTTGGAATTTGAAGAATCTTTATAGCAGTATCTAATTTTTAAAATTTAAATACACAGTTTCATCAGTATATTAATATTTCACTAAATCTAAGATGCCTTCATTGGCTAGAAGAACTGTTGTTTTATGTGCTGCTAAGAAAGAAAAGAAGACTGCCAGTTAGCAGATACATAGTAGAGTCTATGGTATACCCTGATTTCAGAGACATTTTGAATTTTCAAGCGCTTTTTTTTAATCCTACTAGTAACTTTGGACCACTCTTCTATTGACTATTTGCCTTTAGCTGGAAAACCAGAGTGAGTTGATGTTTCATAAAAATAACAGAGGACCTCTTTCCTTAACTGTCACTAGTAATGGGTTAAAAATTAGATTTTATGGTTTTCAGAGAATCCATGCTAATTTTGTATGTGTTTCTATCTATCTCTTTATATAGCATCTCAGGCAAGTAGGAGTGGCTGGAAAGTTTGTTGAGTTTTTTGGAAGTGGAGTTTCACAATTATCTATAGTAGATCGAACTACAATAGCAAACATGTGTCCAGAATATGGTGCTACCCTCAGCTTTTTCCCTGTTGACAATGTGACGTTAAAACATTTAGAACATACAGGTAAGATGTAAGATCACTAGGAAATATTTTACAATAAATTACTACCTTGTACATGTTATTTAATGTTCATGATATGATCTTATTTTGAAATAGCAAGTTTGAAATAAACTGCGCCAGTTGTGCTTAAAGAGTGTTGCGTCCTCAAACTCTAGTCCACTGTGACTAGAGTCATTACAACAATTTAGAGAAATTATTCAAACTGCTGCTCTTTGCTTCACTTTTTCCACATGATAATGGATACCTCCACCCTGTTAGTGACCAGACGTTGCAGTTTAATGGAAGTCATGCTTTCCCACATTCACCGTGCTGTCTTCTACATCCAGGAAGAGAGGAGTCACAAGACAAGATTATATGAGAACCAGTGCTCTCTCTAAAGAATAAGCAGCACTTAATTTTGTGAAAAACAGCATAGGCTTACAGGTTCCAAGTTCTAACTGTAGCCTAATTGACTGGGAACTTTCACCTCTTCTGTTGATATAGAAAATACGTACAAAACAAGAATGTGTTGGTTTTATAAGACTCCTGTTCTTTAAAAGTTAGTCTGTTTATTTTTAAGAGGTCATTACTAAACTGTTGATACTTATCTCTACTCATAAGTATATTGGGGAGATATGTTCTAGTATTCAGTTTGGGGGCAGATTGAATCAAATGGCAAAATGGATGACTGGTCATTTGAAACCTTGGAGGGAATGGTCCTCATAGAATGCAGAGTTTTCTCTAAACTGTTCTTTGGGTTGTAGAATCGTTCAAGAGAGAAATGCCTCATTGTTCACATTAATATGAGTCAATGTAGTAATAACTATCACTGAGTAACAAATTGTCCTAAAACTAGTGGCTTAAAACAGCAATAATCATTTATTGCTGCATAGTTTCAGTGGGTTAGTAATTCAGACAGGGCACGGCCAGGATGGCTTGTCTCTGCTTCATGATGTCTGGAGCCTCAGCTGTTAGACTTAAAAAACCAGGGCCAGGAATCCTGAAGGCTTGTTCACTTGCATGTCTGGCAGTGAATGCTAGCCGTCAGCTGGGAACTTGGCCGGGACTGTCAGCCAGAACACCCACATGTGGTTTCTGCATGTAATCTGGGCTTTATCACATGGTGGCTTTTCAAGGGTTAGTAATCTGAGCGAGGAGGGTTGGGAGGGAGGAAGAGGGTGCCTTAGCCAGCTAAAAGTCACATTGCCTGCATTTAGGGAACGAACATATTTTCTGCCTCTGTCACATTGTAAGAGAACATATATCTTGGGATATAAATTGTTGTGGCAATAATTGGCAAATATAATCTACCACAGTTACTTTTCATCAGGCTTACGGATAACTACTAAAATGTTTAATTAGAAGCTTTTATTCTTAACATCTAATTTATTTTAATTTTTGGAAGATCTTGTTAAATCTCTCTGCTCTCTAAAACTATTCTTTCATTTACTATATTCTTTTATTTTGACTGGTACACTAATGTTGTTTGTTGTTTAGGCAAAGTAATGAATTTTATCTTTCATGGTGGATAGTAATTTATTATGTTCAATTTCATTACTGGGTTTTCTCTTGCAAACAGTGTTTTTGTGAGTATTATATAACTGGCGCAGTATTTTTTTATCTTCTGTGGTGAATAGCTCTTTTTAAAAAATACTTATTTTTTTGGCTGTGGGGGGTTTTAGTTACAGCATGCAGGATCTTGAGTTGCAGTGTGCAGGATCTAGTTCCCTGACCAGGGATCAAACCTGGGCCCCCTGCATTGGGAGCACGGAGTTTTAGCTACTGGACCACCAAAGTGATTGAGTAACTTTTAAAAGGGGCTTCTGATATGTATTTTATAAAGTAGAGTTTTCATGAAGAGTAAAATTTTTGCTATTGTTATCAATTTGTAATATTATCAATATTGTAATATTATCAATTTGTAAAGAAATCTTTTCTCAGTGCTTAGTTATAAGTAACATTTGTTTCTTAGTCATCATTGAAATTCAACATCCTTATTCCCAAAGATTCAGAAATTCCTGACAGGATTTTTGTTGTTTTAATCGTCTTTTTAGGTTTTGACAAAGCCAAACTCAAGTCAATGGAAGCATACCTTAAAGCTGTGAAATTGTTTCGAAATGAGCAAGATAATTCAGGAGAACCTGAATATTCCCAGGTATCTACAAAATAACCCACCTAATAGTAGTTAAGACTGTAAATTCTAGAGCCTGTCCTCCTGGGTTTGAATCCCAGCTTTAAGACTTACCAGCTATACGACCCTGGGTACTTTTTTTAGCTTGTTTGCTTCAGTTTCCTCATCTCTGAAATATGAAGATAGTATCTATCTCATAGTATTTTTAAGAGGTTAAATGCAAATTCATTATAACAGTTTTAAGAACATAGTAAGTACTCAATAAATGATAACTATTATTAACTGTCTAAGAAGATAGTTATATGGCCTTTAATGTTAAAGATATCTTTATAGTCTAAGCAAATGATTCTCTGTTGAAAATTTCTATTGAGGTAGGTAGAATTTACTTGCAGTAAAGTTTTAATAAAATTCACTTTCTAAAAGTGTGTCAGGGATCTAAATCAGCTTGGTGTTATAATTGGTATGGTTAACTATTAAGCTCTTTTTTGTTGGGAAATCCATTGTCTCACTTAGCTTGTTTTTTCTTAATAAATAAATTTTTCTCTATCCAGCATTCAATATACCTATATATATTATGTGACTATATATATATAATATATTGTTATATATAATATATATTTATATATTATATATATTATGTGACTATATATATATAACAATAGTATATATATAGTCACATAATATATATAGGTATATTGAATGCTGGATAGACCCCATCAGAATTGAATTTGTGGGACAGTTGGGTAAATCTTTGAACTTCTTTGATTATTTTCTGGTCCCCTTCTGCCCTATTTATTGACTCTGGTGCTTTGTCCACATTTTTTTAAAAGAGACATAATTAAAGGAAAATTTTTGGTGGCATAGTGAAATGGGATAAATTTGCCTATTAAAAAACTTGAGCATATTATAAGAAATAGAATTAAAATTCATCAGGATGTTCATTTCAAGAGAAATTCACATACTAAAAACACAGATTAGGATCACCTGGTTCCGTGAAACAAAGGTGTAAAAAAAGCAGATGTTTCAGTTGTGATGAACCAGAATAAACAAGGCTATTAAATAATGAGGAAAGCCATAGTGAAGAGAAACTTAATTTGAATTTATTATACCAAATGAAATGTATGTTGGAAAATGGTAGAAATACTGGAAGATATTAAACAGAAACCTAGCTGGGAGGTGGGATTTTTATAAAATATGACTCTTTTTTTTAAAAAACCAAGGAATAAAAACATGGTCTGCAGGGGCCTGGCTAGCTAGACACACTAGAACCAGGATTAGCAAACCCCTTTTTCTACTATACCCCCAGCACCCTCTGTAGACCAGAGTTAACATCATGCAAGCTGAGAACAGAAAAATGTTTACCAAGGCTACCCATGTTATCACAGAATAGGCAAAGGATGAATTTGGGGATCAGAAACAATAAAGTGACAGCTGGTGCAAGCATCTACTGTATCATAAGGCATCTGTGAAGACAGTGTTATCTTTGTGGGGGGAAAAACACTTGAGAAACAAAATTTTTATGTAGACCATACAGTTGGTGTTGCGGTAGTTTGCATACTGGTCTACTAGTCTTTTAGCAAATTTTTATATATTTCATAAATTAGGTTTTAATGTATTTATTTCTTGGGAGTGTATGTCATCATTAAAACAGATTACATTAAAACAAATATGAATATACTTGTTCTGCTTCAGAAAGCAGTACTCAAGTTGGAATCTGTACTTATGAATTCTAATTCCTTTTCTCCTCTCTTATTTCCTAGGTGATCCAGATTAATCTGAATTCAATAGTTCCATCTGTCAGTGGTCCAAAGAGACCTCAGGATAGAGTTGCTTTGACAGATATGAAAAGTGATTTCCAAGCTTGCTTAAATGAAAAGGTAGATTACCTTATTTGTAGTACACTTTGTGCTAAGTAGTCAGGAATTAGCAGGATGATCTATGAACTCAATCTACTGCTATATTTTTATATATTATGGCACACACTAGCAGCTCACTCTTCCTCTGTCCAAAATGTAAGTCAGACATCTCATGAGGTTGTTCTCAGATTTCACTTTAGGACCAGAGGCTGATTGGGTATATTTAAATAAAAATTTCAATTAATTAAAAACTGAGTTTCTTAGTCACTAGAGCCTCTTGTTAAGTTGAATAGCTTCATGTAGCTATGGCTCTTGTATAGGACATTCAAATAACAATTGAGTATATCAGCACAGAAAGTTCCATCGGGCAGCAGTGCTCTAGACTTTCTGTGATTTCCCAGACTAGGAAAAAACTACTATTTTGTTGTGACGACTGTCTTAAGTCTAGTAAAATAACTGAATACCAGGTGACCTCTGACTTTTGGGGTTTGTACTTTCTGTCTTAAGAATCACGGCTTTAATCTTGTCACTTTCTCTATTCTGAGAACTAATAGTTGGTTTTATTTTCAGAGCCTCTTGTAATTTCTTGATTTTCTTCCTTTTTTTGTGGAAAATATTCAACTTTACAGGAGTAAAATAGTGTAATGAATTCCCATGTACCTCCCTTAAACAATTACTATCTTGCCTCATCTGTTCTACACACCTGTAGACATCAGGATCTTTTGAAGCAAATCTTCAAGGCCATTTTCAACAAAGAAAAAATGTTTACCATCTTTTGAGAATTCCTGTTAATTAGGAATGAATAAAGAACAGCAAAGCCAAATAAAATCTGGGCCCTGAGTAGTTGGCTGGACTCACTCAGTAGATAAAAGCTTAGGAATACCACCAGACTCCTGTCATGATTATTCAAATTAATGCTTCAACTGGATTATAACTGCTGAAAGTCATGGACCTTCAGCATCACTCCCAAATAGTCAAAACTTATCAGATGGCAAGGATCTGCTGTATTTTCTTCCCCTCTTTTTTTTCTATACATATCAAGAATATTTAGTTTATATTTATGTGCAAATTTGTGTAGGTTGGATTTAAAGGCTTCCAAATTGCAGCTGAAAAGCAAAATGATATCGTCTCTATTCATTATGAAGGAAGTGAATATAAGCTGTCTCATGGATCTGTGGTCATTGCCGCCGTTATCAGTTGTACCAATAATTGCAATCCATCTGTCATGCTTGCTGCAGGTAGGTTGTGGTATATATCCATACAGTTTTCTGTTTCGTTCACATTCTGTTTTGTAGATTAGTATAAAGTATAGGTGTCTTGATTTTGTTTTCTTGAAGATGCTTTTCTTTTTTTTTTAATTTTTATCTATTTTTTTGGCTGTGCTGGGTCTTCACTGCTGCATGTAGACTTTCTCTAGTTGCAGTGAGCAGGAGCTACTCTAATTTCAGTGCTCAGGCTTCTCATTGCGGTGGTGTCTCTTGTGGAGCATGGCCTCTAGCGCGCAGGCTGAGTAGTTGTGGTGTACAGGCTTAGTTGCCCTGCAGCATGTGGTATCTTCCAGGACCAGGGATCAGCCCCGTGTCTTCTGCATTGGCAGCTGGATTCTTAACCACTGGACCACCAGGGAAGTCCTCTATGTTTGATTTTGAGAGCCTTTCTGAGGTTTTAATTAGGTCTAAAGAAGCCTGAGACTGATTTATGTTATTAATTTTATTTTTATTACAAAGATGGTAAATTTTCAAAATTGTAACTTATGTATCTGAGTTTTAGGTTGTATCTGCTTTTTCTATCAAATCTCTTGATAATCTACTAGACATTTACCATAGCAGTGTGCTAGATCCCACTGAGATATAAAGGAAGTAAAAGATTATTGTCAAGGAATATAAAGTCAACTATGTGCATAGAACAGTTCACTAATTTTATAAAATCAAGTATAATAAATGTTAAATTGCCATTTCTTCATTATGATTATAGCATTTAAAATGGTTCATTTAATGGTATGTATTATATGTGTACATGATATTATTATATATCCTTCCATTTGTGTGCATGATGCCTTGATATCCAACTGTATCTTAAATATAGCATAAAGGCACTAGTATATCTACCACAACTTTTGTTTAAATGAAATCAGTAGAATAAGTGGACAGGATAATGACAGTAATTTTATGAATTTCAGACTTTCACCCTAACCTATATTGGAGGTTACCTGTAAAATGAACCCTTTCTTACTTCCTACTTTAATATGAGGGAAAGAGGGAGAGAAACTTTGCCATAATAAATTATTGTTTATTTACTGTTGCAGGTCTTTTGGCTAAAAAAGCTGTTGAAGCTGGTCTACAGGTTAAACCTTACATAAGAACAAGTTTATCTCCAGGCAGTGGAATGGTTACCCATTACCTCAGTTCAAGTGGAGTATTACCATATCTTAGTAAGCTTGGGTAAGTGATGGTTACCACTTTTTAATATTAGTATTCAGCAGTGATTGAAGCTACTTGTTAGGGCCTTTTATATGCAAAAAGAAGATAGGAAAAAACACTTAGGGTTCTACTTGTTCCCTTGCCATTGCCCAAAAATCCTTGAGGCCGTATCACTCAGCAGTCATTTACTGAGCGTATTTAGTCAACAAGGCAGTGTGTTGGCTGCCAAGAAGTAGATGTGATCTCTAGTTTAAGGATGGAAGCACTAGACAGACAAGAAAAGCCAGGTAACAATGGTGACAAGTAACAGTGACAGACAGGATAAGGGATGGTAACAGTACTGCATAATTTCTGTGAGTCATGTAGATCAGTTTTCAGAACTGAGTGAAATCTTATAGGTTGCATTATTAATGAGTAAGTTGTCTTAATTGTGGTTTTGTGAGATTATTTGATCCATTAAGCATAGGTTAAGTTATCCCTGAACGCTGGAGAAAATAACTTTTCCTATATTTCTCAAGCACTTCAAAAAAATAATTGATGCTAGCAATGTTTTCACTGTGTATCATGGAACATATTGTCTTACATAAATCAATTCTTTTGCAAAACTGATAGGTTTTAGGTTTTTTTTCTTTGTTTAGAAGAGTCAGTTCAGTTCAGTTCAGTCACTTAGTCGTGTCCGACTCTGCAACCCCATGAATCGCAGCACGCCAGGCCTCCCTGTCCATCACCAACTTCCAGAGTTTACTCAAACTCATGTCCATCGAGTCGGTGATGCCATCCAACCATCTCATCCTCTGTCGTCCCCTTCTCCTCCTGCCCCCAATCCCTCCCAGCATCAGGGTCTTTTCCAATGAGTCAACTCTTCGCATGAGGTGGCCAAAGTATTGGAGTTTCAGCTTCAGCATCAGTCCTTCCAATGAATACCCAGGACTGATCTCCTTTAGGATGGACTGGTTGGATCTCCTTACAGTCCAAGGGACTCTCAAGAGTCTTCTCCAAAACCACAGTTCAAAAGCATCAATTTTTCAGCACTCAAGTAGCTGGAAGTAATTTTGAGGATTATACCTACAGTTTTTCAGCTATTGGTGCAAACGTAATTGCAGTTTTTGCATTGTTGAAATTTGCTATTCAATATTGGAATACATTCTTAAATAAAGATGGTTATATTATATATCATTTAATGCTCATTTCTTCATTTTTTTTCTAATGAAAAAAAATTATTACTTGCTGTTTATTTTGGACTGTGGAAATGATGTTAGACAAAAAACAAATTCAAACGATTTTCTTACTTAAAATGGATTATAGAGCAGTGGAGACAACTTACAATATCAACAGTGCATTTGGCCCAGTAAGTGCTAATGAACATACACTGCAGTTATGGTTCAAGAAGTTTTGTGAAGGAGACGAGAGCCTTGAAGATGAGGAACGTAGTGGCTGGCCATCGGAAGTTGACAGTGACCAACTGAGTGCAAGTCATCGGAGCTGATCCTCTTACAGCTACACGAGAAGTTGCCAAAAAAAATCATCGTCGACCATTCTACAGTCATTCAGCATTTTAAGCAAATTGGAAAGGTGAGAAAGCTAGGCCAAGTGGGTACCTCATGAGCTGACTGCAAATCAAAAAAATTCATCTTCTCTTATTCTACACCACAGCAAGCCATTTCTCGATAGGATTATGACATGTGACAAAAAGTGGATTTTATACAGTAGCCAGTGACACCCAGCTCAGTGATTGGACCAAGAAGAAGCTCCAAAGCACTTCCCAAAGCCAGACTTGCACCGAAAAAAAAAAAGATGATGGTCACTAGCGGTTTGCTGCCCATCTGATCCACTACTCTTTGCTGTATCTTGGTGAAACCATTACAACAGAGAAGTTATGCTCAGCAAACCAGTAAGATATACTGAAAACTGCAACGCGTGCAACTGGCATTGGTCAGCAGAAAGGGCCCAGTTCTCCACAACAACATCCTGCCACATGCTTCAAAAGTTGAGCCAGTAGGGCTGTGAAGTTTTGCCTCATCAGCCATATTCACCTGACTTCTCGCCAACTGACTGCCACTTCTTCAAGCATCTTGACAACTTTTAACAGGGAAAATGTTTCCACAACCAGCAGGATGCAGAAAATGCTTTGCAAGAGTTCGTCAAATCCTGAAACATGGATTTTTACACTGCAGGAATGAACCAACTTATTTCTCATAGGCAAAAATGTGTTGGTATAATTGTTCCTATTTTGATTTTAATAAAGATGTGTTTAAGCCTCGTTGTAATGATTTAAAATGCAAAGTCTGAAACCTCAGTTACTTTTGCACCAGCCTAATATCATCTTGGTATTTTTGTCAGGGACTTTTCCTTGGGTTTAGTTGGTTGAGAATTAAAAGATTGCTCCTATCAGAGTACCCAATTACAGTGCCTCTTTGGGTCCCTGAATCAAATTTTTGCAGCCAGGTTCTCTTGATATTTGACAGTTAAACCTCTTTGTAGGGAAGTATAATATCCATTTTTTGAATGGTCACGTTATATTCCTAGCAGGTAATATTTGAGGAATTTTCTTGTGTAGTGTGATAAGTTCTGTATCAGATTTAATTAACCAAGTCTAACTAGGGCGAGTCCTAAATATCAGAGCTGTTCAGAAGTTTGCATTCAGTACAGATAGCATGACTGAGAGTCTGATTTGATTATTCAGGAGGTGTGAAATGAACATGTTGATGAAGGTTCATGTGTTGTTAATATTCTCTCCAACAATCTTATTAAAGTGATGGAAATGAAAGATAAGACTGGTCCTTTCTTTACCAGAAAATGTTGTGATTTTTCTACCCAATCACATTTTATTTTTTGAAATGCAGATTTGAAATCATTGGCTATGGATGTTCAACATGTGTGGGAAATACAGCACCCTTATCAGAAGCAGTTTTAAATGCAGTAAAACAGGTAAACTATGTGGATCACTAGGATATCCAAATGGTTTTCCTTAACTATATTTCACTGTTATCACATATACATATAGATGTATTTATATTTCTATAGTCCTTGCATCGCTTGAGAAAAGTAACCTATCAATCATAAAATGATTCTTTGAAATCATTTTTAGATCCTTGAAATAATTCCTTCTAGTTTATTTACAGGCTTGATAGTTCTGTGCCTAATAATTAGAAATATACTTTTGGTTATCTTGCCCTTAGAAGTATAATATTTTGCAATTGCTTATATGTGAGTATCTAGATTTGTACCATCTCTTGAATATTTGTGGTTTTTGTTTCCTTTTTTTTAGGGTGATTTGGTTACTTGTGGGGTTTTATCTGGAAATAAAAATTTTGAAGGTCGTCTTTGTGATTGTGTTCGTGCCAATTATCTTGCCTCTCCACCCTTAGTGGTAGCTTATGCCATAGCAGGCACAGTGAATATAGACTTCCAGACAGAGCCTTTAGGTATGTTTTCCTTTGTATGTATCCATATATACCCTGCACATGCTTTTTTCCCCAAAAGTTATATTTTTGAAGTGTTTCCAAGACCATTCATTCTTTGAACTATTTCAAGAAATCTTATCACAGTGCATGCATTATTAATTTTTGATTCATATGAAGAATATAAAATGTACAAGTGATGAGTTTTTTTTAGCTACTTATACCTGAAGCACTCTGTTGAATAATATACTTGGTTTCTATATGTCTGAAAAGATGTGAACATTTTGATGTAATTACTTTTTATACTGAATTTCACGTTAAAAATTATTAACCAGGTACTGACCCTACTGGCAAGAACATTTACCTGCATGATATTTGGCCTAGTCGAGAAGAAGTTCATCAGATAGAGGAAGAACATGTTGTATTATCCATGTTTAAAGCATTAAAAGAGAAGATAGAGGTAAGACTCACTTGTTTCTTAGTTTAGTGAAGTGGCAGTGTGTGTTTATTTTATGCATCTTTCTGAATAGGATCAAAATTAAAATTACATTATTTTGAATACACAGTTTTTAATGAGTGATGGTGATTTTATATCTGAAATCTAATCTAAGAGACTTAATATCAGAATTGATTTTATTTACTTACTAGAAATATATAACAAGCATTTATATTTGGCATCCTGAACATGGACACACTTCATAGAAATTGTTTATTGTTCCCATTCACATGATTTAAAATTCAAAAGAAATAAGAGCAGGCAGTGAAATCTCCCTCCCACCCATTCCTTAGCCATCTACGTTACCTCCTCAAAGGCAGCAAGTTTATGTCAGTTTCTTAAGCGTTGTTTCAGAGATGTTTTGTGCATCTACAAGCAAATATATGTGTTCATACTTTTTAAAAAGAATATAAATATGAGAGCAAAAATGATATTTAGTCAGTTAACAAATATTTATTGAGCCCCTACTATGTGCCAAGCACTCTTCTAGCCATTTGGAATATATCAGTGAAGGAAACACAAAGTTCTGAAGGGAAGAGGCAGATAGTAAACTGTAGACAGAATAATTAGGTAAATTATACAGTATGTTAAAAAGTAATCAGTGCTGTAGAAAAATAAAGAACAAGTAAAGAGAACCAATTGTGTAAAATTCAGGAGTAGATTGCAGTTTTATATAGGATAGTTGAAAACATGGTATTGGAGCAAAGTTTTTAAGAGGTAAACAAGTTAGTCATATATCTAGACAAAGAACTGGCCTGAGCAGGTAGAGAGAGGGAGCAGTATAGATGGTAAAAGGCCTCAGGGAGGGACCGGTAGTGAAGGCAGTGTGACTGGAACATAGGAAATAGGAAAGATGGAGATAGGAAATGATGTCCAGATTACATAGGGAATTGTAGGCCATTATTAAAATTTAGTCTTTTACTCTGATTGAAGAGAGATGGGGAGCCATTGGGAAGTGTGGAACGGGTGTGTCATAATCAAAAAAGGTTGCTCTGTCTTGAAATTGAAGATATCTTGGGGCAAGAGGGTTGGGTGATGAGAAGGATAGAGTCAGGAGAACCTATTGTATGTAGTAGTCCAAAATATAAAATGGTAATAGCATGGAACATTTGGGGTGCCAAATGGAGGTGGTGATTGGTGAAGTTTTGAATATAGTTTGAAGGCAGGACTAATAATACAGTGATATAGGACAAATATTTTGAAAAAACCAAGTTTTTCTCCATGATAATATTCTTAAAGATGGAAAGTATACCCCCAAAACACACTTAATCTCTTTAGCAACATGTTTAGATCTTTCTAAATTCTTTGGCTTTTCTGGAGTTCTGTGAAGTCTTTCACATTCACTTTGTATTGAAATTTATTTCTTTGGGTGTTCCTGAAAATCTGGTTTGCTGGCATTTGATGAGCAGATTTTATCCTTTCTGACCAAAGATGTCATAATTTTGTAGAATGCACCATCTTGGCTTTCTTTCCAAATGGATGAGGCCTGTTTTTTTTTTTTTTGTTCTAGCTTAAGTACTGTTTCAGTTTTCTTGATCGTTTTCATAGCCTTCTTTTTCTGACTCCATTTTATCTTTTGGTTTATCAATGAAAACCATATTCACAGATGGGAAATAAGCGGTGGAATTCTTTAGAAGCACCAGATTCAGTTTTGTTTCCATGGGATTTAAAATCTACTTATATCAGATGTCCTTCATTTTTTGATAAGCTTGTAAGTACTGCTTTACTATTTAATCACTAAAAAATTGTTAGGAAGTTGAAAAAAACCTCATGAAGAACTAAACACCTTCAACATTTTTTTACCTTTTAGACCAAAGAGCCAGTTGCACTCCAGCCTATTGAAAATGCCCATGTCTTATTATACCTGGGAGACTCTATCACGACAGATCATATATCACCTGCTGGAAGCATCGCTAGGAGTAGTGCTGCTGCTAAGTATTTGACAAACAGAGGGTATGTGTATATGTTTATAGACTGTTTTTATCTTTCTTATTAATTAAGAGACTTTTACTGGTCATGTTCCTTTATCCAGAATTTACAAATTATATGCTGTCATGGGTGTCTGATTGTCAGTGTATTTGACCTAAGCAATAACTGGGATACCTGTTGTACTTGCTTTTGCTTGTAACTTTAAAAAATTGAAATTCCTGTCTTAAGTTGAGCCCTTGTCCTCAAGTAAACAAATGATTGGAAACAAGATTTTTCTTTTTCAGTGCTACTTTGTTGAAAAGTCTAATTGGTTTCACCTACCAAATAAAGCCTGGTGGTTCCAACCATCTTCCATTGTTGGACTGCACAGTTTAAAATACACATGCATAGGCTAGGCTTGATCTTCTTGAGCTGAAAAATTTCACAAGAATAATAAATGTGAATGTAAAAATCATTTACATAGGATATATAAATCCAAAACTAGAAAGATTTTGTTTCATTGCTCCATGGTTAATAACATAAGAGTTGTTCCCTCTTCAAAGAATTGTTTTGACACCAGAGATAAAATTTTGCTAAAGGTAGAACTTGTGGTACCACTGCCTGACTAGCTTTTTGATGCTTGAGCTATGCATACGACAGTTTTCATTGAAAATATCTTATAAAAATCAGTGCTACATATGACAGCTTGGTTTGACGTGTAATACTGCATAGTTCTTATTATAATCTCATTAGTCCTGTTGTGAAATCTGTGTTTGAATTTCTAGTTAATTGTAGTTTGGTGTGAATTAAAATACTTTTTGGTAGAAATTGCTAATAGCAACTCTGGTGTGATTTAGTGAAGACAAATCAGATTGTTTTACATACAGTTTTTATGTGGTGAGAAATAAAAGTTTTCTTTCGCCCAAATATTTTTTAATAGGTTGTAATTTCCATATTGGTCATAATTGTGATACAGATTCCATCTCCTCCTACCCCCCCCAAAAAAGTCACTACTTCTCTCAAATACAAAATTTTTATATTTTTTAAAATTTCTGATATGGATTTCTTACCTTTGCTAATACAGTAGTCATCAGTTTGAATTTTTATTTTTAAAGACACTCAAATAGCATTGAAACAAGTATACTATTAAGTGTGAAACAGATCACCAGCCCAGGTTGGATGCATGAGACAAGTGCTCAGGACTGGTGCACTGGGAAGACCCTGAGGGGTGGGGTGGGGAGGGAGGCGGGAGGGGGGATCGGGATGCGGAACACATGTAAATCCATGGCTGATTCATGTCAATGTATGGCAAAAACCACTACAATATTGTAAAGTAATTAGCCTCCAACTAATAAAAATAGATGAAAAAAAAAAAACAAAACAAAAAAAATAAAGACACTAAAACCACCCCCCCCATCACCAATGTTTAAATGCACATCCTGAGGTAAGATGTTTAAATTAGAAGGACAGTTGTTGTCTTAGCATAAAAGAGCAAATTAAAGATAGAGCGATGTTGCTTGTTGGTTGTTGAGATGCTTATGCCTAGTTTTCTCTTGTCCTTAAAAGTTCATTTATATAGTGACCAATCCAGTAGCAAAGAACATCCACAGCACACAGATCATGCTGTCTAAATACCAATTCTTAGTACAAGCAACCAGTTCTTCTTGGAGAAATGGTTGATTCCAGATTTGGCAACTGGAAAGTACAAGATGATTCTGTGTCTTAAACCAAGAAAGAGCAAGAACTGTCAGAAACTACCAGGCTTTCTGTCAAAAGGTCTCAGGACCCAACTTGAAATCTGTCACTGCTCAAAGATGGGACATGTTGAACATCAATAAAGAATAACTGGAGTGGATTGACACATAATGAATATGTTTAAATCCATGAGTTCATAATGATACTAGAAGAAAAAAATTAAAAACACCCAAGTTACCTTTGGAAGATGATGAGGAACCATCTCATTATTTAACAATAAAGGCTTTTCTGTATGGAATGTATTTCAATATAACCAAATCATTGATGAAGGAAAGTTTGTCTTTATAGAGGTTTTCCAGCTTAGAAAATGAAGAAATAATAGAAGTACAACATCATCATTTTGCATTCCCTAATGCAGTCTAGATGATGATGGTCAATCTCTGGTAGCATTTCAGAAAGAGAAGTGGGTATCCTGGAAGTAAGACCTATAAAGCATCATTGCAAAAATAAAAACCCTGACTCTTAGCAGGTCACTAGATTTGACATCTGGTTAACAAGAAATACAGGAGGGAAAACAACATATGAAATGACAGTGTGGCAATGTAGTCAGTGCAGTCTAGATACAGGAAACTGTACTACAAATGACCTCATTTCTTTAGATAAAGTATATTAGGGGACAAAGAGGGAGAAGGAACATACAGATTATAAAAAAGACTTGAGAAAGCTGAATGAATTTATAAAACATCTGAATCTGATTTGAGCAAACCAACAGCTAAAGAGGGAGATTTGAATATTTACTGACTAGCTGATACTAAGAAGTTTGGAGGTTTTGTTTATTTGTATCAAGGTAGTATTTTTAAGTCCATATCTTTCAGAGAAACAAACTGAAACATGTCCAGTTAAAATGTGATATCTTGAGTTTTCTTCAAAACAGTCTTAATAGAGGATGACTATAGAAGAAACAAAGAGATTCCATGGACTAATTACTGTAGTTTAATAATAGGGTCTTAGGCATTCTGTTTTCTTTACTTGTGTCCAAACTTGAAATTTTTCATAATAAAAAAGGGATTTTTTAAAATGTTTTACAGTTAAATAATGTGATTATTTTCCACCTGAAATAAAAACTGACTTTCTTGCAGCCTTACCCCTCGTGAATTCAACTCTTATGGAGCCCGAAGAGGTAATGATGCTGTAATGACAAGAGGCACTTTTGCAAATATCAAGCTTTTTAATAAGTTTATTGGAAAACCAGCTCCCAAAACAATTCATTTTCCATCAGGACAGACGGTAAGGATGTACAGAGTGTTTAAGCAGTTGCTAACTAGTTTAAAATTTGTATTAAAATTTTTATGTTTTTTTTTAATCTACAGCTGGATGTATTTGAGGCTGCAGAGCTGTACCAGAAAGAAGGTATCCCACTGATTATTTTAGCAGGAAAGAAATATGGTTCAGGAAACTCAAGAGATTGGGCTGCCAAAGGACCATACTTGCTGGTATTGCTTCTTAAATTTTATCTTTAAGTTCAAAGAGTTTTAAATATTCCTTTTTGTCAGTAACATTCTATCAATGTGTATTTTGTTTATTTAGACTTTTTATGTCTACTTGGATCTCATATATAGGTTTTTTTTTTTTAGGTGATCTTACATACATTGTACTAGTTGCTTTAAAATTTTTTTTAGATTTTATTTATGTGTTTTATTATTTATTTTTAGCTGCACTGGATCTTAGTTGTTGTGCATGGTTTTTCGCTAGTTGTGGCAGATGGGGGGTACTCGAGTTGCTGTGTGTGGGCTTCTCATTGCTGTAGCCTTTCTTTTTGCAGAGCACAGACTCTGGGGCTTCAGTAGTTGCAGCATGAGGACTCGAGTGCGTAGGCTCAGCACTTGTGGTGCACAGGCTTAGTTGCCCCCTGGGATGTGGAATCTCCCCAGACCAAGAATTGAACCCGTGTCCCCTGCATTAGCAGGTGGATTCTTAACCACTGAGCCACCAGGGAAGTCCCTAGTTGCATTTTAGTACTCTGAATTTGATTAAAACTACATCAGTATTATTTGTGAAAATAAATATAGTAGAGGGAAAGGAGATTCTGTCTCAATTTACTGCTTTATTATAATAATTATTTACACTCATTGGTAGTTTTACTTGCCCCTTTTTCATTTAATTTTCTCTGATTTGCTCTATGAAGGCTTAACAGACTTAAGAGATAGTGGGCCAAGATTTACTTTTGTTTTCGAATAGAAGATGATGGTCCCTAGCTATCTGCTAAAAGACATCTCTCTTGAGACCATTTCTTTGTTGAAGAGCAAATAGGGGATCTGCTGGAGAGAACAGTCATGTGATATGTGCTTTCTGCCATTTCTTATCATACTGTGTTTCTCTTTACAATTGTATTTGTGAAAAAGGCTGTTCACGATACAGCCTTCATAGCTATCATAATCATACAAATGTCATTTGTTTTTAATCTTTAACCTCCCCCTCCTTAAAATGTAGATACTATTAAATTATAAGTTCTCTTTCTGAAGTTTTTTAGCCCCCCCCCCCTTTTTTTTTTAATATTTCAGACTTTCCTCATATAGTTGTTGATCCTTGGCTATCTATTCAGTTAGATGTTTAAAAAAATGACTACAAGCTGGGATTGTGGGCTGGGTTTTGTTAGTCAGCCTTACTAATAGTAAGCTACCTTTTTCATTGAGAGAGCCCTGTATATGAGTATCTGTAAATGTTTTCTCTTGAGGCCGTGCAGTTTCTTCATGGAAGGAGACCCACTGAAGAAACAGACTTAATCCTGCCCCATATCTGATAATACTCTCACCTGGCCTTCCTGCGAGCCTAGTGTTCCTCCTTAGTCGAGAGTATCCCTCCTCTGCAGGGTGATACACTCTCAAGGGGTGAAACAAAATCTTACTCTTTGTATGTGTAAAGGACAGAGACATATATATATATACATAAACAGATTAAATTTTGGGAGGTGGGCAATTAGGAGAAAGATGTGTTTAGAAGGGAAATGTCTTTTTTTAAAAAAAAAGGCTCCTTAGGAGGATAATAATGGGAAAAAGTAGAGAAACACAAGTCGTCAGCTTATTTTCTCCAAAGAATAGCCTCCACTCTTTCTGAGTGGGGACTGAGCTGGAGATCTTACTTCTTTTTATAGACTTCTCACTAGTATCCCAGTATTCTGAGAACCTTGTGCCTCTCAAGTCCTTTCTAGGTTCTTTGTTGCAGAGTGACTCAAATCTTCGATTGGCTGTCACTCTAATTTCAGTTAGTCTGTAGTTTCAACATTCTCTGCTAAGTCAGTCACCTATCTCTGTTTTCTAAATATTTACAGAATTTCCACATCCTGTTCTCTTTGTTCCTGTGGGCTTATACTTCTTTATGCCCTTATTTTAGTGGCAGTTTAAGAGGCAGTGTTGATAAACACATATGTTAGATCTACCATAATTAAACAGAAATCTTCTTGAGCCCTTTTTGAATTTTAAGCAACTGCCCCCTGTTATAGAGAACACTTAGTATGTAGTAGGCACTGGCAGTACTTAATCCTGGAGTGGCAGAGGGGCCGTTAGAAGGAGTTAAGGAGCTACTTAGAGATACAGGAAAATAATCTGTAAAAGGTTTCTTTAAATACTTTGATATAACATTGACCTTTATATGGGGTAATGGGTTTGAAGTTTTTACAGAAAAGCCAAAAGTGGAGTTTTTTCCCCTTTAAAATTGTCTAGTAAAGCAATTTTCAGAGATGAATGAAGGAAATAAAATGCATGTTTGTTACAGGGTGTGAAAGCTGTTTTGGCTGAAAGTTATGAAAAAATTCACAAAGATCATTTGATTGGAATTGGCATAGCTCCACTTCAGTTCCTTCCAGGAGAAAGTGCAGATTCCTTGGGCCTCTCTGGCAGAGAAACATTTTCTTTAACATTTCCTGAAGAACTGTCTCCTGGAGTTATATTAAATATAAAGGTATACCTAAATTTCTCAAATATATGATCATGTACAGTACTATATATTTAACTAGATGGTTGTAAACTAAGTAATAATTTATGTAAATTATATACTAATGTCAGCTAGTAAACAAATTATAGTTTAAAAAGGCTTTATTTTGTTTGTACTTAAACCTGTGTTAATATAGTTGGTCTCTGAGGAAAAGTAGAACATGTATACTTAGTCCAGAAAAAAGAAAACATGAACTTCCAGTTACATGTTTCAACTTCCTTTTCCTCATTAACAGCTCTCTGTGCTACTGTAATTTTTAGTCCAGGCATGTACACCACTTAGTTAGAAGCCCGAGTTGTGTTCATGGTTAGAGTAACACAGACTTTACAACTAAGAAAAAAGGAAAACGAGTAGCAGATATTATATGCAATGAATATTTGATTTTTAACAAAATGAACATGAGTAATTAGTATAACATCCCTAACTAGTAAGTCAAAATCTGAATGATTTAATACTTTTAAGTGATAACAGTACTTGCTCTTTAGAATTAGGGATGAAAATATTTGTTTTTCTACTTAGCTGTGAAGCCTTTAATTAGGTATCTTAGTTGTTTCTCAAGCAAGAGAAATGTTTCTCAGACAGAATATGTGATAAGTATAGTCATTGAATATGAAGACAAATGATCTTAACCACTAAGAAACATTACAAGATTTTACCGCTCATGTGAGATGTTTTTGTTTGTTTAAAGACAAGCACTGGAAAAGTATTCAGCGTGATTGCTTTGTTTGAAAATGACGTGGAGACAACATTGTACAAACATGGAGGATTATTAAACTTTGTGGCACGAAAATTCTCATAGTATCTACTCACCATGGATACCTTTCATAACTGGTGACTGCAAACAAAGCCTTCTGTGCTGGACCCAGGAATCCTTCCCATGGAGCTGCAGATAGTCCCAGTATGTCCACTTATCTCATCCATGGATGTAAATGATTGTGAATCAACGTAGTGACTGAAATGAAATCTCGATTTTAAATAATATACGAATGGTGCTATTAACATTGCTAAAATCAATGTGTGAAGTGTGTTGTGGAAGAGGCCTATAAGTAAGGGGGACTATTTTATCAGACCATTTTGTAAATAAAAGCAGAATTTGAACTTGTGTTGAAGATTCTTATATGAATAACCTTCCTGAAGTCTCTTGTTTAGTTTTGCACCTATAAAACTGTATACTACTGTTTGTTGGTTTAAGAGTAGCGGATTGAAATTTAAGAAGCCAGATAATTCTAAAATTGTGGAAGGTGAAATCTGATTTATAAATGGACTTTCAGATATGTTCATTCCTTTCCAGAGTTGAGCTGGACATAGTGGCATTCTTAGTCTGTAATATAAGCCAGGGTTATCCTGTCTCAGTCAAAGGATAGAACTTGCCCCAGACACAATCATTCTGTCCAATCCAGCTGAGCTTTCCTCCACATCTGAAGATGAACTGTTACAGAATACAGTTGATTGTGTAGCACCATGTATTAGCAGTGAAAATATGTACCACATATGCAGCCCTTATTTTTTCAGTAATTTGCTCCTGTGACCCTGGCAAGTCTCAGATGGCATTATATTAATTGGATTAGATTACTTTGCTCACTTTATGTGATACTGTAACTTCTATAACCTAATATTTTAGGTATCATTAGCCAAAATTCCACACTCATTTACAGTTGCTAAGGAGAACTTTACGTAATCATTAAACACTAACATGATTTCCTCTAGATTTTTAAATTTTCCACCCTAAATTATATGGTTGCTCAACCCTAAACATTTTTTAAATGTTGGTTTCTTTTTAATTATATAAATCAATTTCCTGTCATTTTGAATCATTATTTCACCTGGGATGCATGATACTATTAATTATATATGCTTTTGCTGACCGTTAGGATAAAACACTTAAATTATTGCTGTCTGAATACCATATTTTCTCTATATGCATGTTTGTTTACTACATCAAATGTTCTGTTAACAAAACGTTTGGTGACTTTTAAGAAAAGGTTGGATGATTAATTCTGAAAGTCCTATACCTTTTTAAAAAAATTAAGAAGTTAAAGTTAGCAGGCAGAAGGTTAATTGTAGTGACTTTTCCCCCCCACATAGAGATCATCATATGACCTAGTTAAGTTACTGCAATTCAGAATTAGCTTACATTGCACAGAATAAATTGTTTTAAGCTAAAATGCTGAAACTACCAAACCAGTGGGTAAAGACCACTGAGAACTTTGCACATAATCAGTCATACAATCTTTTGAAGATATTCTCTGTTTAGACAATTAGATGGACTAGAGCTTGGCAAAATGATTTCCCTTTTATTTAAAATTTTTATAAGTAGTTTCTTTAGTACTTTCAAGTCATATTGTGTTCTTGATATTTTATTATGCTGTGTATTTGTCAGTGCATGTGTTTTTAATTTACATGAAAACATGAATTAAGGTTGGAGGATTTACAAGTTGAATGTTAAAATATCAGTTATAGGCTTTTGAGAAAATGATAATCCAGATTGTATGTGGGGAAGACATCTGTATTATTTCTAAGCCATACTGTAATACAATTTGTAGCCTATGATCAGAGGCCTGGGCATCACCATAAACAGCAGATCCAGGAAATGAAGAGATGATGAAGCTAGCCAGCTGTAAATTAAGCATTTACATTTCCAGTCTACCTAGTCCAGTAAAAGTACAAGCAGATCTTGTATTTCAGGAACAAAATCAAGGTTCTCTTAAAATCTCTTGTTTATATACAGTGAACCAAAAAGCTTGATAAGCAGTGGCTATCAATTGGGGAAGAGAGTCATGAATGTGTGACCCTGAGTGCACCTGTAATTCTTCCTCCAGCCAAATTGTGTTTGCAAAAATGTGGCACCTGTTGGTTTTTATTGTTTTTTTCATATCTCCTTTATTGACTATGTCTAGATAATTTTGTGTTTTTAAAAAAATACACAAATATTGTGGGAAGAAATATGATAGGCCCATGAAAGAAGCAAATTAGCGCTATAAACTTAACAGTACAATTTCAAAAGTCATTATCAACCGGAGCATTTTTGTCATATTTTAAGAAACGTTATGCTACATACCATTGCAATATTTCATGCCTTTGGGCTTGCTAATTGATGAAAATGTCCTCGAGTCACTGAACTGCCATTAATACACCTAAAAAGTTTCCGAGATACAGTTGTTATTTTCTGTGGTATCTCCAGGCTGACGTTTGAATGAGAGGTGTTAGGATCCCTTTAGCAAAGTGCTCAGCTTTTCACTGGGAGTCACACTCCATGGGTACTGAAGGACGAAAAGCACAGCTAAGATCTAAATCAAAATTCTAGTGGTTTACACATAGGGAAACAGTGTTGTGTGCATTCACCTTCTCAGTGTTAAGTGACAGGATGAGGAGAAATTATTTGACTAACATTTTTCTTAGTTCAATTAAAAGACACCGTTCTTTTGCCTTTAGGTTTAGGAGGAAGTGCTAAGATACTGGATGTTGACCCTATCTTAGTTTGATTTGGAATACTAAAAGAGAGGGGAAGGAGGTGGACTTAGTCTTCGATAGTGACTTTTCCCCTGAGGTGTGATAGTGCCGATGTTTATCAATTTTACACATAGTATGTCATTATGAAACCATATATCTCACTTAAGCAACTATAAATCATTGTCTATTATTTAAAGCCAACAAAACAGTATAACAGTTTTAAGTTCAGTAATGTTAAGTATTGTATAGAAATATATTGGAGGCAAAGTTCAGTTGATGACAATTGTGTATATGTTACTGATGCTGTAAATTATTTTTAATAAAGAAAATTGTATTATCACATATTTGACTCTTGTTATAAAATACTTTGTGGTGATTGAAAGTAAAATACTGTAACTTAAGGAGAAATAAGATGCCACCCAGACATTTCTCTTCAAACATGTTATCTAGCTGTTCAGACATTAGTTATTCCCAATATGACTGCTAAATGAGAATGAAAGCCAAGATAAAGTTTGCAGTAGGGATAGCCTTGAGGAAACAATTAAGTTGAAGTTGATTCAGAGGTCATTCTAATAGGTACTTAGATTCATAGAATCACATTTTAGAGTTGAAAAGACATCTCTCACCCAAAGCAGGATCCTTTGTACAAATACCATCTAACTGAGCAGTCCTTTCTTGAATATTCAAGAGATGGGAGACTGTCTACTGCACTTGGTAGCCCACTGACTGAGTTTTGATGGTTAAATTTTATTTCAAGTTGAACTTGCCTGCTTGTAGCTCATACCTACTGATTCTAGTTCTCATTTGTCTATGCCCCTTAAAGCGCTTTAGTATAACTATATATAAAACACAGATTTAATGAATAAGTTAGACCCTCCACAAATTGCTTTGAACATAACCTTCATACTTTAGATCTTTTTTTAGTGGTAATTTATGTTAAAGTGAACATTTAGAACTGAATTCATCTCATGCTACAAAGTTGCGTATTACTGGAGGAAAGGGGCTTTTCTTGATTGATGCAGGATGGAAGTGCTATGTTTGTATGAGCCTCCATGCTGTAGAACTAGGTGATGGTGTCACTTCCTCCTTCCACTGGCTATTCATCAGCACTGATGAAGCACCTACGAGTCATCTGGAGCAGAGAGCCAGGACCGTGAGTCTCTAGGATGAATATTTTGTAAATATGGTCAGTTGCCCACAGATCTAAAAATATCTGCCCTTTTCCTCAATAGCAACCTACATGAGTAAAGTTTGTTAAAATTTGATATTTGTAAATTAAAATTGGTACATTATTAGGAGTTTTCTAAGGACTCCAGTATCCTAAGAAATTTGTGTTCTCAGTACAGAGACAGGCACATGGTGTAGTTTGAATACCCAGAGTTCAAGGAAGCCTAGTGCAACACCAGTGTTGTGCTTTGTTAATTTAAGGTTTCCACTTGATGCCAGTTTTTTTTTTTTCATTATAAAATAATTTAGCTTCAGCTTGTTTTGATTTGATGTGAGTTTGGCTCATAGGTTTTCCAAAATAGATTATAAAGCTTGTGTTTTGTATACTTCAAAAATGGAACATTTATTGCAGAAGCAGATGTGTATGTAATCCCCACAAAACTTGCTTGTATACTGACCGTTGTTTTGTCTGTGAATTTTGTGTTCATGTGATGGCACTAGATTTTTAGCATTTTAACAACGTAGGTATATAGTTGTATCATAAAACTAGTGGGCTATTATGTTTTATAGGATATCTTGTAATATAAAATCATATCTATAATTTCACCCTGCACATTTTTCATTTTGTTTCACTCCAGTTTTTTTCACTGAAGTTTTTGAGAGCCACTACCTAAGTGTCCTAGTGGCTGGGTGGAACAGGAAAAAAATTGTTAATACTACAGTGATAATGACATTTCTTGTCTATCAGATTGGAGCTTTATTCATTATCATGGTATCCAGTTTTGGCATTATTGGAAAAAAAACATGTATTAAGAGCCTTAGAAATGTTCATTCTCTCATACCCAGTAGTATGACTAAGCAGTGTATCTAAAAGGCTCATAAAGGACAAAAGACTTATGTGTAAGAATATTATTCTTAAAGACAAGGAAATCTTGTTTAGAGTGAAAAAGGCAAGTGACGAAACGTATTTCTAAAAAAGGTGCAGTAAAAAAAATAATAAAAAATTTAAAAAAATTAAAAAGGTGCAGTGAGTGGAAAGATCCTTGCCAGAGGAAGTAATTGTGGATCTAGCAGTCCTGTCTCTTCAAGTCTCACCATACCTTCCAGATTTGATCTTCATTCCCATCTCTTAATCCCAAGAAAAGTAGAAACAACAAACATTGCAGCACTATTTACAACAGCTAGGATATGGAAGCAACCTAGATGTCCATCGAGAGTTGAACGGACAAAGAAGCTGTGGTACATATATACAGATGGGATACTGCTCAGCCATAAAAAGGAACGCATTTGAGTCAGGTCTAATGAGGTGGATGAACCTAGAGCCTATTAAATACAGAATGAAGTAAGTCAGAGAAAAATTGCCTATTAACCCATGTATATGGAATCTAGAAAGATGGTACTGATGAACCTATTTGCAGGGCAGCAATGCAGATGCAGACCTAGAGAAAGACATGGGAAGAAGGAGAGGGTGGGATGACTGGAGAGAGGCTCTGTAACAACCTAGAGGGGTGGGAAAGGGTGGAGGAAGTTTCAACAGGGAGGGGACAATAGGTACACCTATGGCTAATTCATACTGATGTAAGGCAGAAATCAAGCCAATATTGTAAAGCAATTATCCTTTAATTAAAAATTTAAAAACTGGACTAATAGAGGTGGAATAGTGAGAGGGTGGACTGAATTCAGGACCTGCCTGAGGAAAGAGATGCCCAGATGCCTGAGTGGACCAATAGGAGTCAGATTCTGGCTACAGATACTGGAAATCAAATCTTTAACATCCTAAAGGAAAGCGATATAATAAGAATTCTACCCTGGGGCTTAAAAAAGCCCCAGTACTTGGAAATTAGAACTGAAGCAGATAATCATATCTGAAGGCAGAAAAGAGATCCCTCAATACGTGGTTGACAGAAGTTTGGGAAACATCGATCAATCAAGGTCACTAAATATGCCCACTGTGCTATATTCTGACGGGGGTGGGGGGTAGGCATAGTGAGAGAGTGAGATGTGCATGGATTAAAACAGACCGAGTTGCAGTAATGAGTGATGTCTAGAATTCTCCTCCAATAGAAAGAGTGCTCTGTACTATCAGAGAGGTTCTCCTTGGCTGCAGACATATATGAAACTGGCTACCCTTGATGCCCAAGGGCATCAAGCCTGATGCCGTTGACAATTAAGATCGGGCAACTAACCTGGCTGCTAATGGATTCCCAAAGTGGGCTTCTCTGGTGGCTTGAAACGGAAAAGAATCTGCCTGCAATGCAGAGACCTGGCTTCAACCCCAGGTTTGGGAAGATCCTTGGAGAAGGGAATGGCAGCCCACTCCAGTATTCTTGCCTGGAGAATTCTATGGACAGAGGAGCCTGGTGGGCTACAGTCCGTGGGGTCGCAAAGAGTCCGACACAATTGAGTGGCTAACACTTTCATCCGGAGGCAGCCTTCTGATGATCATGTGGTTTCTGCGCTTCCTTGCAGAGAGAGAGAGAATCCACTCCCAATTCAGGATTCTGACCCCATTACCAGTTCATCTTCCCAGTGTAAATGAATCACTTATCACACCAGACCTGAACTGTGGTCATCGCAGCCCCCCGAGGGGATCTGTTAGAGGAGCCTTCACGCTTCCTTTACATATATTATATTGAATTTAATGGCTCGAGAGTAGAAAACTCTCCGTACAAGAGCACCGTACAAGAGCTTAAACTCGAAGTTGGGTGACTAGGTCTGGCTGAGGCTCTGTGCCCTCTTGACTTAAGTTTCCCCATCAGTACAAGGAACGTGTGGATCTATCCTATAACTTAGACAATTTTACGTTCTAACATTACTGACTGCATCCCGGGAGAGCTAGGTCCTGTGCAGAACGCTGCCAGGCCAAACTCCCAGGTCCTCAGTCCTCTTGCAGTTCTAGGGAACTTGAGGGGCTCGAGGCCATCCCGGCCACGCTTGCGAAGCCTCTGGCATACGTGTTTCCAACAGGAGGGAGGGAAGGAAGAAAGTAGAGGACGCGAATTCTACCCAAGCCAGAGAATCCCGAGTGAAGCAGGCCACGAAGCCTCCACAGCTTCATGGAGTGGGAGGAACTGCAAGATGCCACTCAAGAGCTGAAAGCCTCCTAAATGGTTACCCACCAAGGGGCGGGGCGGAATCGCAAAGAGCCAATCAGAACGAAGAAGTCCAGTTCTGTGGGGAGATTACCGCCTTCTGACTGGGGCGATCGCTGAGCGAAGGCGGGACGGGATTGCAGATCCATCCAAAGCCTGATCTCTGAATTTCTCTATTCGCAGTCTCTTCTGCACTCCGGGGACTGGGCGGGAATAGCCCAGATCGGCCTGGCGGAGCCTCGCCTTCCAAGAGTCTTCGCTTATTGGCGGCGGGGGAGTCTCGAGGAGCCAATCAGAAGTCAGGACTCACGCGCTCGGAGGAGGGGCGGACCCAGACGCGACAAGTTGGGCGCGACTTCCCAGCGGGAGCACAGGACCGCGGCCGCAGTCCCCGGCTGCTCGAGAGCGGGATCCACGTCAGGACCTCGGGTCGTTGCGGGTGAGCCGGGTGGGGAAAGCAGAGACGAACCCCAGGACCCTCTGGAGGGGGCGGCCCGGAGAGCAAGGAGGCTCGCTGCGAATCTGGGGCCAGGAGTCGTGAGCCTCCGGCCCCTCCAGCGCCTCCAGCCCCTAATCCACCTCAGACTCTGTTCAGGTGATGCGCAAGTCACCTTCCTCGCTGGATCGCACCTACAACCAAGAAGGTTGGGCTGAGATCCCAGAATTGGGGTGTGGCACCTGAGAAGCCATCTGGTCCAACCTGTGCGGTGCCAGGCACTACCGGCCAGGGGTCTAGTGGGAGCAGTTTCTTGAGCTCCACTGGACTTCACTAGCATAACACTCTGAATCCGACTAATGTGCCTCCTTCGTCCCTTATTTTCCTATCTCTTGGGTCAGCAACCCTTTTGCAGCCGCTCTCCTACCACCTGTTCCTTCTCACCCAGAAGGAAAACACTCAGGGCACCCAATGCTGTTGTCTTTGAAAAACTACAGATTCTAGTTCCCTATCTTTCTGTTTCCTGAAACCCTTTGAGAGTAAACTGCCCTCATGAGCCTGTGGAATGAAAGTAACCCTTCTGTCATTAATTCCTCTTGATAGTTAATAAGAATCTAGGCTAGAATCTGGGCTGGGGATACGGAGAT